CTATTCTTTTAGTATAGTTTTAATATAATATATATCATAAAATAATAAATCAGCCTTCTGAAACATGGAGTCAGATCCTCGTTTCTTCTCTCATCTTCGGACTCCTGTGAACACAGTCACAGGGTGGGATCCATAAAAGCTCCATGGGAATATGTAGGTGCCTGTCTGGGGTAAAAGGGCTGTGCTGGCACAGCCAGACTGGTCCAGGCTGGCATTCCCATCCCTGGATGTGCTCAGGGCCAGGCTGGAGCAGCCTGGGACAGCAGGAGGTGTCCCTGCCCATGGCAGGGGTGGCACTGGGTGGGTCCTTCCCAACCAGGCCAGTCTGGGATTCTGGGACAGGCTCGCTTTGAATGCAGCCAAAGCGTCCATATCAGAAACACAGAAACCTCCTGCAGCTTCCCTGTGGCTGCTGCTCCCAGTGCCCAGTGAGCCCTGGGACACCCAAACCACCCTGGAGCATGCTGCTGACCCCATCCCTGAGCTGCACCTCCATCCCTGTGCTGTGACAGTGTTCACAGGGGTCCCAGGATGAGGGAAGAGATGAGGATCTGACTCCATGTTTCAGAAGGCTGATTTATTATTTTATGATATATATTATATTAAAACTATACTAAAAGAATAGAAGAAAGGATTTCATCAGAAGGCTGGTAAGAATAGAAAAGGAAGAAAATGATAACAAAGGCTTGTGGCTTGGACAGAGAGCCCGAGCCAGCTGACTGTGATTGGCCATTAATTACAAACAAACCAACATGAGACCAATCCCAGATGCACCTGTTGCATTCCACAGCAGCGGATAATCAATGTTTACATTTTGTTCCTGAGGCCTCTCAGATTCTAAGGAGGAAAAATCCTAAAGAAACTATTTTCCATAAAAGATGTCTGTGACACTGTGCTGCTGATCCCATCCCTGTGGTGACACCTGGCACCATCAGCAGCAGAGGCTGGGTGGAGGGCACCGACAATGTTTTACCTCTCCAGATGTTCCATCTGAGCCTGTGCCACCTCCTCAGGGTGGCTGCTGCCCCTTCTCCAGAGCTGTCCAGCAGCCCCTGAGCACAGAGCTAGGCTGGGCTCTCCAGCATAGACACATTTTCCATCAGGACCTTGAGAACCAAACATAGTGTGGGGATTCAGGAGCAGTGCAACCCCCTTGGATAACATCATGAAGACACCATGAAAACATTGACATTGAACCAGAAATCCCTCAAAGAACCCCTCACCACGTGTGTGGAGATGTCCCCCTGGTACCTCAATGTCTAAGGTTGAAAAATGTAGCTGCGTGTGTGTGCTCTGTCCCCATCTGTCAGAGCTGGGGCAGTTCTCTGCTGTCCTTGGGGCAGTTTTTTCTTTCTCTCTCCCACAGCCAACCCTCCCTCCAGGAGATCTCTGCTGTCCATGGCCACTGAGTGTCCCTGCAGGGCTGATCCAATCCCAGCATCCCATGGGGAGATGCTCCGCCCAGGGGAGGAGCCAAGCATTCCTCCCTGGATCCAATCTGGGCCTGGCACAGCACAGCAGCCTTTGCCCCCTGCATTGCCAGAGGAGCAGCTTTCTGCTGCCCTGCATGGCCAGAGGGAGCCCAGGCCCATCTGCAGCAGCCCTGGAGCTGCAGAGGAAAACTCCCCCCTTGTGCAGGATCCCTGCTGCAGCAGAGCCACAGCTGGCACTGCAGGAGGGCTGAGCCCCCCTGGGATGGGGCTGGGACACCGCCCTGACACACAGGGGGCAGGGACTGCTCTCACTCTGGCTGTGGTTTGTGAGGGTTTTTTTGCACTATTGTATTTGTATTTTCAATTGTCCGGGTAAAGAACTGTTATTCCTACTCCCACATGTTTGCCTGAGAGCCCCTTAATTCAAATTTATGATAATTCAGAGGGAGGGGGTTACATTTTCCGTATCAAGGGAGGCTCCTGCCTTCCTTAGCACACACCTGGCTTTCAAAGCCCCCTCACCAGGTCTGTGCACTGTCCCCAGGGTCCCCTGGCAGGTTCCAGTCCCTGTCCAGGCTCCCAGCATCTCCCACCCCTTTGTGCCTTGCCAGTCTCACTCCTGTCTCTCAGCACAGCCATCTCTGTGGAATTTAGAAGATTTTCATACCAATATTCCATCTGGATTTTAAAAAGCCATCTCCACACTGCTCACGTGTCTGTGGCTCCCATTCCTCAGCAGCCCCTATGCTCCTCTTCCCAAAGAGGCTCAGAGCCCACAAAACCCCTTAGGACCATTAAAACATCAAACACAACGTTCCAGGATCCATCTCTGAGACAGAACTGGAACCAGTTTTTGCTGATCCTGGATCTCCTGGCTGGTCACCACTTCAGAAGAGGTTCCTTGTTCCTCTCTCTCCCACGTGCAGCCCAAAGGGTGCCTGGGAATCCACCCTGGGTTGTCCATCCTGGTTTTCCAGCCTCAGGCATGGAACACACAACCTCCCTGGCACTGCCTTGTGTCCACCCAGGCAGAATCCTGGGTTTGCCCTCCCCATGGAGCTGCAATTCCATGGATCCAAGGGCTGGGAGCACCCTGGCAGGACCCCAAGCTGGATGTTGAGCCCTGTGGTGTCCAACAGAGCAGGCAGAAATGAGGAAACGTGGGATGAGGATAAAATGGAGATTTCCAGCTCTGCACAGGCTGTGCTGAGGGAGGCTGAGCTGGAAGAATGGGAAGCACATTTCCATGGATGGCCAAGGACAGGAGGGGAGCTCCAGCACAAGCTTTGCTCTCCTAGCCCTTCCTCAGGGCTGAAAGGAATCCAGGAATATATTGAAAATCCAGGGAGCAGTTGGGAAACTGGAACAGGAGCTGAGAATTCCCTGAGGTCACTTTTAAACCCTTTAAAAATTCATCAAATGAAGTGATGGTGTTGAAGATGCTTCTCCCTGGGCACAGCAATGTTTGAACATCTAAAGCAGAGTAGGAAATGATCCTTTGGAGGAAATGATCCCATTTTCCCCAGGCCTGAGGCACTGCCCCTGTCCTCAGAGTGTGATCCTGTGTGATCAGCTGGATGCAAAGCACAGCAGAGCAAACACAGCCTGGTGTCACCCTGGGGTACATGACCCTCCATGAGGCACCAGCCAGGGGACACGTCCCAGAGAGTCTCCTTTGCTGTTTCTGGTCCTTTTCCATGGTGCTGTCCCTGCTTCCCTCTCTCTAAGGACAGCTGAGGGTCATGGTTAGGCCTGGCTTAACCTCTGCTATGGGAGAGCCTGAGCTGGACTAAATCCCCATGGTTGCTTTGAAACCAGCCCAGTTCAGGGAAGGCAAAACCCTTGTGCTGGGAAGAGTCACTTTGTCCCTTGTCACCTGCATTCCCTGTGCTAACAATAGCTTTAAAGATTTTTTTTTTCCCTCTTTTTTAATTTACTTTGTGCACAAACTTGGCACCTGGAGTGCAATCTGAGCCTGAGCTGGCCAGGGCAGAGCCTGCAGGGCTCCAAGGGCTCAGAGCTCAGCAAGGTGTGAAGGGGATGAACTGCCCAGGTCTGGTTTAACCAGGCTCAGGCTCAGTCTGTATACAAACCAAGAGAAGTGGCCTTGGAAGGAGCCTTGGGATAGGGAAAAATAAAGTCTGGTTCTTTTAAGAGAATTTTCTATCTAAAATAGAGCATAGATCCTGCCAGGGGGCCAGTCCTGCAGGAAGTCTGTGATTGCTGACTGCTGATCCCAATCTTTATGAATCTCTGAGCCTCCCAAACCCCAGGAAGGCACATTTGGGGTATTTATAAACAGGAGGGAGAGCAGAGGGCACTGCACAGGGCACTGGACCCTCTGGGCAGGTTTGGGGAGCCAGATTTGCTCAGGCTGGGCTGAGAGGGCACTGAGCCCTAAAACTCCCTCTGAGAGCTCTTCTGGGACACAGGAGGGCTCCCCCTTCCCTGGCTAGGTACCAGACCTTAGGCCTGACTTTTCCACACATATTTTCAGCAAATGGATCCAGACAAATTCCACCTTTCACAAGGATTTATGACTGCAAACACAATCTGAACCCACACATGTGAGATTCACTGAACATCTGCTGCTGGGGATCCAGGTAAAATCCAAACTGACCTCCAGGGACCATTCCTCTGCCCTGACCCATCACATCCCCACGTAGCCCCAGCACACCTTCATGGCATTTGGGCTCTATCTCATTATTTCTGGGCAGAATCCTAAGGAAATGTTCCTCTGATTCAGGCAGGAAATGCAGATCTGGCACACCTGGCTTGGGATGCCAACAACAAAGCACCTCATGGTGATCACTGGATGAAAAACCCTTTACAAACAGATCATTCCCAGCACTCAAAGATCAACTGGGAAGAAAAAAAAATCCTCTGCAAGGCAGAGAACAAGATCTGAGTGACAACCTCATGTAATGTACAGCACCCCAGGAGCCACAAACTTCCACCCTCGACAGCTACAAAGCACTTGGAGCTTCAGAAGGTTTTGTGCTGGGGGTTCTCCCACCTTCTGCAGTAAATTCCAAATGAAAAAGCAGAGGAAGGGCACTTGAAAAGACAGCACATCTCGACACAACTGCTGCTGCTGCTTTGTATTCTGGCAGAGAGGGAGAGCTGAGGGTGCTGGGTTGGGATCAAACCCAGATCAAACCCAGAATTTCTGTCTGGGAGAGCTGAGGGTGAGGTACCAAACCCAGCATTTCTGTCTGGGAGAGCTGAGGGTGCTGGGTCAGGTACCAAACTCAGCATTTCTGTCTGGGAGAGCTGAGGATGCTGGGTCAGGATCAAACCCAGCATTTGTCTGGGAGAGCTGAGGATGCTGGGTCAGGTACAAAACCCAGCATTTCTGTCTGGGAGAGCTGAGGGTGCAGGGTTGGGATCAAACCCAGATCAAACCCAGCATTTCTGTCTATGAGAGCTGAGGGTGTGGGATCAGGTACCAAACCCAGCACTTCTGCTGGGAGAGAACAGACAGAGCCCAGAGCTGCTGTTTGTTGTTTCTGACCTGTGCCTGGGGCTGATTCCAGCTCGAAGGACAGGACTGCAAGGACCTGATATCTCCATGTGTCCCTCCCAAGGGGACAAAGCCCCTCTCCTCTGCAAACAGGTTTAAAGTGCCCCATTAATGAACATGCAGCGCTTCCTCTCACCTCAGCTCCCAAAGCCATCCTCAGCTCCTGCAGGCAGAAATCCCCAGATTCCCTTCTTCCACTTTCTGCCCCCACTTGTGTTTAACCAAGATTAGTAAAAAAAAAAAAATCCATCTTGCAGGTTTGGAAAGCCTCTGAGTTGATGATATAAAGTAAAAAAAGAAGAAAGCCAGCAATGCAACAAAAGTCTTGAATCTCTTCTCCCCTCTAATAATTCACCTGGAAACGTGAAAAAATCAGTTTGGGGATGAGAGTTTTATCCCTGGGGAGGCCCAGCCTCCCATTCCCTCCTGTGGGACAGAGCACCAGGGACAGCCATGGTGTCCATCACACAGGGTCCCCTAAAAAAGCCTTTTTCAGGTGACAGGGATTTAGGGGAAGAAACCCACACAGGCTACAAAAACCTCTCAAATCTCCAGGCAGAAGGGAAGCTGAAGGATCTGCACATGGGGAATTGAGGCAGACTTCTCTCCCTAAGTAAACTAAAGAAAGACTGTTCTAAAAATAGTAAACCAACTAAAATTTAAAGTTTTATTTATTTACATTATCAATAAAAAAAAGTAAGAAGAAGAAATATGTTCTAAATGTTTTGTTCTAATTCTTATTACTCTTTTATGACTCTTTCTTTTAGTTACTATTAATACATTTTTCTTTATACCCTTTTAAAGTTTTAAACCTACTTCACCTTTCTCCTAATCCTACCTCACAACAAGAAGTAAATACACTAGTAATTAACCAATCCTAAAGCCACCACAATCATTAGTACATTAACAAAAAAATCTGAAAATGAACGAAATCTCAAAGTAATAAACCAAAACCACTACACGTGGCAGAGCTGATCAGCCTCTGGAAAAAACATCCCAGGAGGGACACACCTGTGTCACCAGGGGGGACATGTCAGTGTCACCATGATATTTTCTGAAAAATCCCTTCACCAGGATTTTCTCCTGGGAAGCTGAGAAGCCTCAGAAAAGAATGCAAACAACAATTATCTGATTGCTTGGGAATGTGGTCTGGAGATCATTTACCAACATTTGATTGGGTCCATGGGAATTGTTTTTAATTAATGACCAATCCCAGCCAGCTGTGTCAGACTCTGAGGAGTCAGTCAGGAGCTTTCATGATCATTTTTGTCAAGCCTTCTGATGTCTCCCTTCTCTTTCTTTAGTATAGTTTTAGTATATAATTTCTTATAATGAATAGAATAGAATAGAATAGAATAGAATAGAATAGAATAGAATAGAATAGAATAATAAATCAGCCTTCTGAGAACATGGAGTCAAATTCTCCTCTCTCACCTCGTCCTGGGGACCTCACAACACCACAATCCTGTGTGACCAGGAGGCACATGTCCAGCCTGTCCCCAGGCCCTGGTGCCTCACTGGAAGATGTTGTTGGAGTTAAAGGGTGACAATTTGGGGCTGTTGATGGATCATTTCGCACACTGGAGGCTCTGAGCTCCCCCTGGGCCCTAAAACCCAGGAGGGGCTGCCCTGGATGGAGCTGCTGGAGCTGCCAGGTCCCACAGCAGCCCCTGCAGCCCCATTTCTCTGCCCAGCCCCTGCTGTTGGTGCTGCAAGGGCAGCCAGAGCAGCCTGTGCCCACCAGGGATCCCTGCAGCATGGACAGGGGGCTCCTCCTGGCCCCCTTTTTCCCAGCAATCAGCTTCTCCAGGAGTCAGGGTGGATAAAGGCAGTGAGAACAGGTTCAGCTGAGCACCCAGGGCAGCTCAGGGGTGCCAGAGAGGCTTTGGGCATCACCCAGCCCTGCCCAGCCCCACAGTCCTGGCTGCTCACTCACTAAAGGGTCCCAATTCTCTTTCTCTGCAATACTCAGCTCCTTTTTTTTTTTTTTTCCTGAGTACAACAAGAGATCACTCAGAATTAAATGATGGGAACAAGGTCCTTGTTGACAGCAAGAAAAATAAATATCCCAGAGCTCTGAGCTGAGGAGCACATCAAAGCAGGGAGGAAATGTCACCCCCACGCCCAAAACCCATCCCTAACACATTTCCCTGCTCTGCTGAACCCTTTTCTCCTGCACTCACAGCTGCTGAGTGTTTGCCCATTGAGCCTGGCCAGAGGGGACTTTTCTGAGCTTCTGTTCATCCCCTCCTGTCCCGTTCCCTCCCTGGCCATAAATCAGCCCTGGAGACACGAGCAGCAGCGACTGCTGGCACCCCCAGCACCCTGGTTCACAGAACAATACACAATGGATTATTCAGAGCACACCCTGCGTCACACACCAGTAATTATAAACATGAAATCTATCAAATAATGACAATTAACAGCGGATCTGACAGGGTAACACACTCCAAATAGCCTGGTGGTTGATTACGTCTTATTAATGAAATGCCAAAACATTGAGGGCTCTTAGCAGGACAATTAATTGCTCCCAATAAATCTGACTTCTGCCAGACCTCATCTTTGAAGGAGGCTTTGGGACATCTGGTGAGGGTTATTTTGTAAAGCAATGGCTGATGGTTCCTACAGAAAATTCCCTGCGAGCTGGGAGGGCTGGAGCCACCAGCACACAGAAATGAGCAGAAGGGAATTAGAGACGAGGGCAACCCCAACACTGGAATAATTTTATATAAACTGGGGTGGATTGTGGTGTGAGATTCCAACCAAGATCCACTCCCAGCACTTCCCTGCAAACACCCAGGGCCAGCAGCTTCCTTGGAAAAGCATCCTCAGACACAATGGCCCAGATTCAAGGGGATGCAAGGAGGATCCCAGGCTGCTGGGAGAGGGTGAGCAGACCCAAAGGGAGACCTGTCCCCCCAGAGTGCCCAGAGCCACCAGGCTGGCTGTCACTGCCCCAGGATGGGCTGTGGGGACAGAGACTCCCCCAGAGTGCCCAGAGCCTCCAGGCTGGCTGTCACTGCCCCAGGATGGGCTGTGGGGACAGAGACTCCCCCAGAGTGCCCAGAGCCTCCAGGCTGGCTGTCACTGCCCCAGGATGGGCTGTGGGGACAAAGGCTGCAGGGGCTGTTGTGCCAATGGCTCCACTCCTGCAGACACTGGGAATGTCAACTGCCCTGGACATACAGCATTGCTGCCAAAGGTGGTCTGTCCGTCCATCCATCCATCATCCATCCATCCATCCATTCCCCATCCATCCATCCATCCATCCATCCATCCATCCATCCATCCATCCATCCATCCCCTGCTGTGTGTGCAGTCACTGGGATCACTGGACCCTTTCCAGGGCCAAACCCCGGAGCTCTGGGCACTCCCAGCCCATGCTGGAGCCCCTCACCATCCCTGGTTCCCCAGCTCCTGTCAGGGAGAGCAGGCTCAGGCTGTGCTGCTCTCCCTGCAAGCTCCTGCTCCTGGGAAGATCCAGTGGAGCTGTTCCAGGAACCCCAGGGATCATTTCCTGCTGGAGCAGTGTTGGGCTCTCAGGGTGGCACAAATTACAGCATCCTTATTTTTATTTCAGCCTTTATTTGAAGGGAACGTACAAGAGAAATCTGACGCTGGCTGGGCCTGGAAGCCACAAGCACTCTGTAAACAAGCTCTGCTCTGAGATTTCCATGTTTCTTCCTGAAACACCAGGAGAACCAGCAGCACTGGCTAATTGGAAACAGCTACAGAGACTTCATTTTCTTATTTTTTCTGGGATTTGCTCTCGGGCTGGCTCTTCCCAACCTTAATACCTGGCAGGGTTGATCAACTCTTTGGAATGTCATTTGCATAAGGGTTGATGTGCTGAGGAGAAATCACTGCCCTGGAGAGGTCAGGGATATCCAGGGGGAAAAGGAGAGAGGCCATTTCTCCTTGAGTGCTGCTTTAAAAGGGATCAGAGCAGAGCCTCTGACCTGAATGAATAAACAGACCCCAAGGAACACTTTACTGTGACATCCTTGGGAGCCTCTGGACACGTCCCCAAACCCTTGGGGACATTTGCCAATCAGCAACAGAGACACGTGCGGGTATTCCAGCCCTGCCCTCGGGGGCACAGCATCCCTGGAGGCAGCAGCACCTCAGCCCCTGTGCTGGGACAAACTAGGACAGGCTGGGACAGGCTGGGACACCTCACCTCCTGGGCTGGGACAGGCTGGGACAGGCTGGGACACCTCAGTTCCTGTACTGGGACAGGCTGGACAGACTGGGACAGGCTGGGACACCTCAACTCCTGTACTGGGACAGGCTGGGACAGGCTGGAGCACCTCAGCTTCTGTACTGGGACAGGCTGGGACAAGCTGGGACACACTGGGACAGGCTGGGACAGGCTGGGACACACTGGGACAGGCAGCAGCACCTCAGCTCCTGTACTGGGACAGGCTGGGACAGGCTGGAGCACCTCAACTCCTGTACTGGGACAGGCTGGGACAGGCTGGAGCACCTCAGCTTCTATACTGGGACAGGCTGGGACAAGCTGGGACACACTGGGACAGGCTGGGACAGGCTGGGACAGGCTGGGACAGGCAGCAGCACCTCAACTCCTGTACTGGGACAGGCTGGGACAGGCTGGAGCACCTCAGCTTCTGTACTGGGACAGGCTGGGACAGGCTGGGACAGGCTGGGACAGGCAGCAGCACCTCAGCTCCTGTGCTGGGACAGGCAGCAGCCCCAGCAGGGCTCACCCAGGCCTGGTTTTCCTCCTCAGTTTGCCCAAGGCTTGGCAGGAGGGGTCTCAGAGAGCTGAGCCCTGCACACCCTGAGCATCTTCAGGCTCCTGCAGCTCCTCAGCTCCGGGAGCCTCTGCCCCCCTGAGCCCTGCAGAGCCCTGGGCAGGAACAGGGCACAGACCCTGGGATTGGGGCTGGCATGGAGGAAGCCAGGCTGGATTTGTGCAGGGCACCAGCAGAGCCCTTCCCACCACTCAGTGAATCCCAGCTCCTCGGGCTGCCTCACGTTCTGGTTTAACATTCCAGCAGCCAGGAGAGGAGATGCACACAGATGTGCTCCCTGC